TCTTTTAAAGCCCTCAGAACCACACCTTTGACTACCACTAAACCATCAACTTAATAACCTCGTCAAGGCCCCACCTTTCAATTCCCATAATAGGATTTCCTACCCTCTTAACACCATCACAGTGGGGACCAAGCCTCCAACACATTTAACTTTGTGGGGGCACCATACAATCCATTGCAATATTCTTTCCTCCTTTCAGCAAAAGGAAGCAAGGCAATGCAAGGGAACATGCCTTCAAAGACTGTGAAAATCTGAGGGTACTTCAGAAAGTTCATGGAAAGATCAGTAGTATCTTTCAATTCTATTTTCCACGAACTTTTTGAAGTACCCTCATAGAACATGTATGTATAAATATACATCTATGTATGTGACCATTCAAAACTTCCACAACTGAATGTATCTTGTAATACACAAACACATTTTAGTTTTCAAATTCAAACTTTGATCTTCCATTTTAATTAATCCTGTTAGGAGGCAAAGGATTTTATTCCAGAAATCATAAAGATTACTCTTAATTAATACTACCTCTTAAAACTTTTTCCTTAGCAAAATAATTTACTTAAATTTCAAATTCTCAAATATAGTCATGCGCCACATGACCTGCTTTGGTCAACAATGGACCGCATCTGATAGCAGTCCCATAAAATTATAATGCAGCTGAAAAATTCCTATCACCTAGTGATGTCATAACGTCATAACACAATTACTTTATTTCTTAAATACATTTAGTTTAGCCTAAGTGTACAGTGTTTATAAAGCCTACAGTAGCGTACAGTCATGTCCTAGACCTTCATACTCACTCACCACTCACTGACCCACCTAGAGCAATTTCCAGTCCTGCGAGCCTCATTCATGGTAAGTGCTCTATACAGATGTACTGTGTTTTATCTTTTTCACGTTTTATCTTTTTATGTTTGTGTTTAAATACACAAATACCTACCGTGTTACAACTGCCTATAGTGTTCACTCCAGTAACATGCTGTACAGGTTTGCAGCCTAGGAGCCATAGACTATACCAGATAGGTGAGGTGTGTGGCAGGCTGCACCATCTAGATTTGTGCAAGTAGAGTTGACCCTTGAACAACATGGGCTTGAACTGCATGGATCCACTCACATGCAGACTTTTTTTCAATAAATACTCTACAGTGCAGTAAATGTATTTTTTCTTCCTTACAATTTTCTTAATAACATTTTCTTTTCTCTAGCCTACTTTATTGTAAGAATATAGTATACAATACACATACACATAAAATGTGTTAATCAATGATGTTATTGGTAAGGCTTCTGGACAACAGTAGGCTATGAGTAAAGTTCTGGGGGGAGTCAAAAGTTATACGTGGATTTTCAACTGCACAGGGGGGTTGGTGCCTCTAATCCCCGAGTTGTTCACAGTCAATTGTACATTCTGTTTCCACAACAAATTTCTCAAAACATATCCTTGTCATTAAACAACACATGACTGTATATACTTACCAGTTCAATAACTCCTTCCTTCCACAGCTTTCTTTATCAGACTAAAATGTTCACCATTCGATGGAGTTTTATCTCCCTTCCTTTATCCTAACAAAATTTCATGGAAGGAGCACAGGGAGTGGGAATCAAGAGACCATAATGCCAAAGAATTAACTAGCCAAGCCAAGGTTGACTCACTACAAACTACAGCACTGGAGCTGATGGATATACTATCTTTCACCTCTAACATTCTGATTCTCATGTTCTGACAGAACTAAGAACTGTAAGTCATAATGAGACCAACAGTCTACTCTGACTGTGACATTTTGTTGTCACCACTAAACAGGTTAAAATACACACTATTATTACCATGAAGACATAGCCTAAAAGCAAGGGGCAGAATAACTAATTCACACTGTTACCATTACTGGAAGAGAACTTTCAGACTACAGTCAACCTATCAACGTCCACCAATCACAAAGCTGAACAGCAGACAACTCAGAAATGAAATCACTTCATAGAACAGTTGCATTTTATGTTGTTCAACTTTTACATTAATTTTATTACCTACCCTTCACTATTTTATGACATATTTACCATTATGAAATGAATAAAAACTGATTGTGGTTCACTATAAGAATCCTGTTTACCTTTACTAGATCATTTCCTTTATAAGACAGTGAAAGGTACAATATAAACAGAAAGCCAAAAACAAAAACCAAAAAAAGTCTTTAGAACAGAAATGGCTTTACACATAAAATCTGTGAACAGTTGTACTAAAATGTAATGTTTTTATGAATACCCCTTTCCAATGTAAGAAAACTGAAAATTGTAAGCCCACATTAGCAAATAACAAAATTCATACTTAACACCACAGGAAAAAACAAAGGATAATTTGCCTTTAAAAAACAGAGCCAAGGGCCAGCCCGGTGGCGCACTGCTACAGTGCGCCGCTTGGGAGTGCGGTGGCGCTCCCGCCGAGGGTTCGGATCCCACATACAGACCGGTTCCCCCTCACTGGCTGAACAAGGTGTGGGCGCAGCACTGAAGGTTGCGATCCCGTTGCCGGTCCCGGTCCGGTACGGGTGTGACACTGAGGGTTGCGATCTGTTGCCGGACACGAGAAAAGATAAAAAGGAAAAAAAAAAGAGCCAAAAATAATGCATATAATGTGAGCTTAATACCCTGGAGATAATACTTGAGGAAAGATCATAATTTCCTTATACAAGAAAATGGTGATTTATTCGACAGTTTTCTCAGAGTACCTTATGATAAGGCTTTCCAAGGATCCAGGTTGTACGCTCTTTAGGTACCAAAAACCACTTAACTATCTGAAACATAAATAACTGGATAAAAATTGATATATGATCATTATCAATAGACTCCTAAAAAACAGACTGTATTAACATTTTAACACCATTTTCAATTTTTAAAAAATCAATACATATAAAAGGGAACAGAATAACAGGATTCAAAATATAAAATGAGAATATTTTCTAACCCCAAGTTTGTGACCACTGCTTAACTTCCAGGTTTCACCTGTCATTTGATAAAAGCGCTCCTCCAGTTTTTTCAATTTCATTTCCTGGTGAGGTTTTAAAACGTTCTCTACATATCTGCTGGCCTGTTCAAAAAAACAAATTAGGTGTTGTTACTATACATTAATGTTCCTAAAATTTTACATTGTCTATAAAGTTATAAACAAGAACCAGGTAAAAACTGTTTTCTCACACTAATTCAATTTTGTCAGAAAAAAGCAGCATCTTCCACTTTTGCATCACTCTAAAAATTCACATTTGTATCCCACTTCTGACACCAAAAAAAAAAATTCATATTTGTGCGTAATGCAAATAAAAACAAATGTTCTATACCTATGCTTGTATAGCATTATGCCTATATATTCTTTGTGCTTTCAGTGCAAAAAAGCTTACTAGGAGCTAGGAATACAAAGGTGCATGAGACATGGTCTCTGACTTCTAGGGGCTTAGAGTCTGAACAGTTTGTTCAAGGCACAATGGCTTCTCATGTTGTTGGATTCTAGAAGGCATGAACTCGTTTAGAAGAGTATTAATTGTACAGCCCAATCTTGGTATTAAAGTTAATTTTTCTGGTGATATGTTTCTCCTTTTCCCTTTCTTCTTTTTAAGAGAAGGGGTCTAGTTAATGAGGATGCTAGTTGCTGTGACAAGCAAACCTGAAAATTTCAATTACTTAACAAAATAGCAGTTTATTTTTTTACTCCTTTAACAGTCTGGAAAGGGCATTTGTCTCAGTAGGCAGCTTTCCTTTATATGATGATTTACTGACCTGAATTCCTCTGTCTTATGGTTCTGCCATCCTTAAAAATCTTTGTGATTCTCTGTCTCCTGCTAGTGGAAGGGGAAGAGAGAATGGAGAAGGCACTTCTTAATTGCCTTGGCAAGGAACTTCTATTTATAGTATGTTGACTAAAACTAGACACGTGGTCCTGCCTAGCTACAAAAGGGTCTGAGAAATGAAGTTTTTAGTTAAGCAGTTACTTCTTAAGGACAACTCTGTACTATGGAAAGGAATGCATGAATTTTGGTTGACAGTTGGCTGTCTTTGCCCCAAAAGAATGGTTCTCCTTTTATTATTATTTTTGGCTGACAGTAAATACTAGGCTTCTTATATTTGCTGGGGGCAGCAATGGAAGAGGCATAATTGGTAAAAATTATTTTAAATAAAAACCTGTTTTCATTTTGTTCTCTTTTTTTTTTCATCAGTTTCTTCTTGGATCAAAGCTTTTCTGACAAATACAAACTATTTCTGTCTCCTTCTGCTCTTGAAAATCGCCCCAAAACAACTACAGGAACAAGAAACAGAAACCTAAAGTCCATCACTGATGAAACAAAGAAATAATATAATCCCCAAACCACAAAATGTGAAGACAGATGGAGGAGAGATAACTGACGTAATGGAGAGGGAAAGCTGCAACCTATGTGCTTGCAAAGGAGGACAGTAAGAAGAAAGTCAGTGCCCTCCACAAACCCTGGAACAGCTCTGGAAGAAATGATACCAGATACCATGGCAGGGGCATGCGGTGAGGAGCAGAGCTTAAAAACAGTGAGTAGCAGGGGATGCCACACACAGACCAATAATGTGTTCATAGTGAGCCAAGGATTATGATTATTCCAATTCTTTGCACCTACAGTTCACAGGGAAAAAGGGGGAAAATAAAAAAGAGCTACTAGATCCCCAGACCCACTACCCTACCACACAGAGCCAAGCATGGAAGGTTTATTCTCTGGGAAAATGAACCAGAGATGCTACAGAATCATAGGTCCCAGGCCTAGCAGAGAGCAGGCGTGAAAACTAAATAAAACCGAGAGAGTACATGAAAAGGTACACACTGAAAGGTGAGATTCCCCAGTCTCCTTGCCCACTTGACTCAGACTGGTGGCAGCCAAGCTTTAACTCCCCAGGAGGGAGAATGAAGGAGACTTCTCTACAGAAAATGAATTGCAAAAGAGGAACCAACAGATATCGAGGAAGCTAAACTACTACTCAATCATCCTACAGTGAAGCCCACCAACAGACCACTCAACAAGCTCTCCCCACATACACAGCAACTGCAACTAGCTTTTTTTCTTTTATATTGAGGTATAACTTATAAACAGCGAAAAACACAAATCTTAAGGGTAAAGCTTGATAAAATTTACAAATGCACACACTTAGGTAATCATCAATTAGCTTTTTATTAGTGCTTCAATTTTGGGGGGAGGCAGCTGGCTGTACAGTGATCCGAATCCCTGACCTCGGTGTTACACCACCATGCTCTTAACCAACTGAGCTAACCAGACAGCATCAATCTTAAACATGAAAGGGCAGAACCGAGGACTGCCAGATGATTAAGGAAGGCCTCCAACATAAAAAACAGAGACTAAAACAAACAGAAAAAAAGGAAATTGGAGAAATAAGAGAAGATGCAGAAAGCAGAAAAAAATTTCTAAAAAATAATATTCTCAGAGATACCAAAAAATATTGGATATGTGAAATAAGAAGATGCTGTAAGAAACAAATCAGAATAGCAGTAGTCTTGGAAATTAACATTATAACAGCTGAAGTAATCAACTGAAATTCCCTAGAAATATCAAGAAGACAAAGACATAATAACAGAGAAGATGAAACAACCAGCGGCTGAGTCTCTGAGGTTCAATCTCATCTAATGGGAGCTTCCAAAAGAAAAAAAGAGCATGGAAGAAATTATCCAAAAAAAATATATAAGAAAATTTCTAAGAACTAAAAGAAATGTCTATATACTTAGGGGCTCACTGGATTTCTAGCACAACAAACAAAAAAAGATTGACACCAAACAACACCTCAATGAAATTTCATAACCCCAAGGATAAAGATTCTAAAAGCTTCTTGAAAGGGAAACAAAATTGATCATAAACAATGACTCAAGAATAAAAATGGCATCAGATTTTACACTGGAATTTGGAGGATTATGGTACAATACTTCAAAAGTTCTAATGATATTCAACCTAAAGTTCTATATACCAAGTCAAACTATCAAGTGTCAGAGGAGAAAAACCACATTTTTAGAATGAAAAAACTAACACATTTACTATATCGCCAGGCACTTGTCTTCAGAGGCTAGACATTTCAGGCACATAGACTATACTGTGAGATACTCATTTAATTAACTTTCCTGTGGCCAAAGAGAAAACACAGGGATAAAGTTTCTAGACTCTTTTGTCAAACAAAACAATCCCAACTTTACACACCCTTAGCAATTATAGATGTTTTAAAAAAAAAAAAAAAAAAAGTGGGGACATTACTACCAACCTTACAGAAATAAAAAGGGAATACTGTGAACAATTAATCTTATGCCATCAAATTAGATAACCTAGGGCTGGCCGGTTACCTCAGTTGGTTAGAGTGTGGTGTTATGATCCCTGTGTGGGCCAGATGCCAAAAAAAAAAAAAAAAATAGATAACCTAATTCATAGAAACACACAAAATACCTAAACTGACTAAAGAAGAAATTAGGAAACCTCAACAGACCTATAACAAGAGACTGAACCAGTAATCAAAAATCTTCCTATAAAGAAAATTCTAGGACCACCTGGACTCACAAGTGAATTCCACCAAACCTTTAAAGAAGAATTAACATCTATCCTTCTAAAACTCTTTCAAAAGAAAAGAAGAGGTGGGAACAGTTTCTAACTCATTCTATGAGACCAGAGTTATCTTGATACCAAAGCCAAAGACATCGCAAGAAAACTAAAGACTAATTAATATTCCCTATGACCACAAATGCAAATTCCTCAATAAAATACTAGCAAACTGAACCCAACAGAATGTTAAAAGGATTATAAAACAACACTAAGTGGCCCGCCCCACCCACACCAGGCAAGCACCTTCAAGACCTTCTCATGGAAAGTGAATTTTTCTCCTGCCAATCTGTCTAACACTGGTTCCAGGTATCTGAACACTCTCGTTGACAGTGCAGTGGCCCTTGAAACAAAGGATACCTCACTAGATAGTTTTATCCCTGCAGTGAATGATTTGACCTCTGATCTTTTTCATACCAAATCCAGAAATGAAGAAATCAAGCTTGAACTGGGAAAACTTGAAAAAATCTAATTGCAACTTCAGTATTAGTAAAATGTCAGAAATGGACGACGGTTCTGGTCAAGATGGCAGAATAGACAGTCCCCAGCATCATTCTCTCCCACAAATCAACCAAGTTACAACTATAAAAAATGGAACAACAGCCAAGCTGGGGCAGCTGGAGCTCAGGGGAAAAGGAGGAAAGACCTGCGGAGTTCATGAAGGGGGAGAAGCCACTATAAGAGAAAGAAAAAACTGCTCGGAGCACTTCAGGCCACAGCCACTTTAAGGCTAGAACTGCTGAGCACATGGAGCAGGAGCCAGTAGAAGCCGTAGCTGCGGGCCGGCCCGGTGGCGCACTGCTGTAGTGCGCCGCTTGGGAAGCGCGGCGGTGCTCCCACCGAGGGTTCGGATCCCACATACAGACCGGTTCCCGCTCACTGGCTGAGCGAGGCGTGGGAGCGACGCCGAGGGTTGCGATCCTGTTGCTGGTCCCGG